CAAGCATCCTGGGCTTCTGGTTGATTACTTTCCTTTCCCAAAGGCACCGAATCCCATGGACATGATACAGGTGGGCGTCAGTAGACGTCTGTTCATGTAGTGCACTGAATTACAGGGGAGAAGCACCAAGCTTAGCGCATCTGCTTTTATACTAAGCAGAAACCAGCCTAATATTTGTTCAGGGGAGTGATTACCGTATCTCTCAAGATTTCTTCTCTGCAAACACAACTGTGAGAAATGGCCCAGGTTAAGAACATCAGGGTCTTGCATTCTTGTCACATCCAGCAAAGTGCCATGAGCACTACCTCTCCCCACACAGGGATCTACTTAATATCAATTTAAAACAATGAGGATGAGGAAGGTAATATTTATTGATCTCTCATCATATACCAGCGACGATGTCATGTGCTAGTTCCATGATATACGTTGTGTAATTTAATTTTCACAACACTGTGGGACAGAGGTTATTATTGCCCATTATAGATGATGAAAATGAGGTTCAGAGGGATCTTCCCAAAATTTACCCAGCTAGCAAAAGAGCTACTAGTTGTGGATCCAGGATTCTAACTTTGTTTATCTTATACCAAAGCAGGTCACTTTAATTGTTACTGATGATCTCACAGGGGGAGCCCAAGGGAGGGCATTTGAGTTGACCAAGGACACACAGAGCAGAGGAGGCAGAGCTGGGACTTGAACCCAGTTCTCCTGACTCCCAGCCTTGGGTCTTCATCTCCCAATGATAACAGCTTCCACTCTCATCCAAGCCTGGTCCTCCCTGGTGATGGGTACCTGGGGCAGAATTCCAAGAGGCTGATTCTGGGGGAGTCCATCCTGGAAGTTGGGTTGGGGAGGGGCTCAGGGGAACCAGGTCCCAGCCCCAGTTCTCTCCCGTTCTCTGTCCAGGCCAAGTGGCAGCGCCTGGCCTCACAGGGCAGTGCCCATCTGGACATGTTTGAGCACATCAGCCTCATGACCTTGGACAGTCTGCAGAAATGTGTCTTCAGCTTCGACAGCAACTGTCAGGAGTGAGTCTCTGCCCAGTGCCTGGAAACTTGAGCCATGGATCCTAGGGAACAGGTAGGGGAGGGAGGGCTGGCCAGGGCAACCAGAAAAGCCTTCCTTGAGGAGGTGGGTCAGATCTGGGCACTGAAGGGCAGGGTAGGACAGAGAGAAACCATAGTCTTGCAGGCAGGGAGATATATTTAAGTAAAGGCAAGAAGTCTAGGATGAGCAGAGCATGGGCAACAGACAGTGGAATGAGGTGTAGAGGTAGACAGATCCTACATCTCAAGGACATAGAAAACCTGGGCAAAGGGATGTGAACGTTATCACGAGGTTACCAGGCAGCTACGGAAGGTGGTAGCACTGATGATGGGCATGGTCAGAGCTGAGCTCTCCGAAGGACTGACATCATGTAGACAATAAATGGAGTTGACATTGGATGCAAAGAGCATAGAGTAAGTACTGGGCCTTGAACCAGTTGGAAACGCTTGAGGTCTGAGTTGTGTGGACTGAGATGGGATGGAGGGAAGAGAGTTTGGAGATACCCACTGTGTATCTGTGAGACCGTCTGTTTCTGGACACTCAGTCTCTTAATGGGAAGTAGCTCCAGCTGCTGGTGGGAGTTGCTTTTCTGATGCCAGGTGTGTTACATTGTTGCCTCCTTTATGTCCTCATCCTGCAGGAAGCCCAGTGAGTATATTGCTGCCATCTTGGAGCTCAGCGCCCTTGTGGCAAAAAGGCAGCATCATCCCGTCCTGCACGTGGACCTCCTGTACTATCTCACTGCCGACGGGCGGCGCTTCCTCAGGGACTGTCGCCTGGTGCACGACTTCACAGACGCCGTCATCCAGGAGAGGCGCCGCACCCTCCCCGATCAGGGTGTTGATGATTTCCTCAAGGCCAAGGCCAAGACCAAGACTTTGGACTTCATCGATGTGCTCCTGCTGAGCAAGGTGGGCTGCTCTGGGACCTGCATCCAAGGGGTAGAATGGATCTTTATGTCAAAGGTCAGATATAAAGAACTCAGACTGGATCCAGGGGGAACTGGGGAGCCCTGGAAACTATTGGAGAAGGGGAAGAACAGGTCAGAGATAGGTTTTAGAGATGACTCTGCAGAGTGTACTCAGCAGGAAAGTGCTAAATTTAAAATGGGAAGAACCTGGGACTTTACTCTATTTACAGCTTATCAAGTTAGTCTGCCACGTTATTTATATCTATATATCTGTATCTATGTGTTTGTCTAGGTCTATGTCTGTGCTGACAGATTCACCAAACCCCTGCCTAAGAGCAGCTCGTTTATTACTTGCAGCAAGAACAGCAGCCAGAGTAGGATGCTAGCTCTGGCTCCCATTTACAAATTCTGTGAGGACAGCACCAAGTATTTCCTCTATGTGTAGCAGAGGTTGCATAATAAGAAATCCACCCACATGATGAGTCTCAGAAATAATATAGAACAGATGGGACATATGCCCATTCTTCCTTCCAGAGAGAGTAACACACACACACGCACGCACACACACACATAAAAAGAGGAGGGAGGAAGAGAGAAGAGAGACAGAGAGAGAGAGAAACACTTTATTTATTCATTCTGAAATCCTCTCCAATGAGATGGCAATGTCTTCAGCTTTATAACCCAAATATTTCCAGGGGAGATAAGATTCTGGATCTACCACTTAGAATATGCACAAATATCTTTGGAGCAATACTTAATCTCTAACTTCTGAGACAAATTGCCATTCCACCATCCTGTAACCCAGGTTGCCAGTAATTTCTCATAAAAGTTCTCATCATGCAGAATCATGAAAATATTCATGGATCATTGATTTCTCCCACTATAGACAAAACAGGACTCAAGGTAGCCAAGGAGAAAGCCAATGGGGTCAGGCTCTGGTGACGGTGACCAGGAGAGGACTACGTGTAGAGTGAGCTTGGGTTTCAGGAAGGATGCTGGATATCCAGGATTGTCTCAGGTTAGACTCTGCAACCCACCGAGCTAGTGTGATTTGCGGACATTGTCTTCTCTCCAGGATGAAGATGGGAAGGAGCTGTCAGATGAAGACATCAGAGCAGAGGCTGACACCTTCATGTTTGAGGGTGAGGGTCACAGTGTGGGACTACAGTGGGAACAGGTGTCTCTCAATCCCAGGGATGTGGCTGGTGGACCCCGAATCACTCCATTCTGCCCATCTTCCCCTCCCCCATCCTCCCTGAGGGTCTCAATGTGAGGGCGCTGTCCACCCCTCCGGTGCTGAAGCAGCCCAGAGACCCAAGCCTGCCTGGCTACCCCTCAGGTCATGACACCACAGCCAGTGGCCTCTCCTGGGTCCTGTACAACCTCGCAAAGCATCCGGAATACCAGGAGCGCTGCCGGCAGGAGGTGCGAGAGCTCCTGAGGGACCGCGAGCCTCAAGAGATTGAATGGTGAGTTCAGGTCCTCGTGGCCTGTTCCTGAGCCCCTTTCATTGGCCCTGCTCCTTAGGTGGGGAAAGGAGGAAGTAGTTTTTGTTAATTC